TCCCCCTTTTGTCTTTATCCATTCGCGATAACGACGTTCCGCCGGTATCGAATTGATCAGACGGGACGCGTCTTAACGACCTGCTGTGTGCGTCCGTGCCCCGGGAGCGGCCGGACTACCGTTTTCATGGAACGCTTTTTCGGCTCTCGCGATCGCGAGTTATCGCAGAACCTTTATAATTAGATTTTGCGAATTCACGTTTTCAACGACACAACTGGAAAACTAGAATTACGATAGGAAACAGATGTTTTCCAACGAATGTCATAAGAAACTTTGAGTAATTCATATCATTTCTTACACTTTCGAATTTCCGATAAACGCGTAAATAATCGAAGCCTATTTATAAGCGTCATCGACTTTGATCGTACGTTGGCAGCAGGATTTTTGAGATGAGCTAAAAAGTTTGTCCAAAGGTGAAGAGGTAGGTGTAAGAGTTTTCGCGTTATTTAGAAATATATAGGATGTTCGGGAAGGGTTAAGATTGTAATACACATGCGCCAAGATGCACGCGATTAATTGTAGTTTCTATTGGACAGTGCATGTGAACCGTGATCAGTCGCGTGGTCTATGAAAGCGGAGTTAATATTTCCGAATAATATCGAAATATTAATGAAATAATACGTTCAGTTTTTCTGGAAAATGGTATGTCAGATATATTTGTACAACCAGATATACAGGGTAAGAAAAAAAACCTCGGTGACCTTGAAAATACCAAGAAAAAGGTACAAAAAATAATGATATTATGATGGCAATGTCCTTCGATACCATTCAAATTCCCATGTCGCCAAATTTCGTATCTTTAAATCCAACAAAGATATTCACGTGTTCTGTTTCTTCTGACTCACCCTGTATACAGCTGGAACGTGTATAATGTTCGTGGCATGAAATACATAGAAATGGTAATGAGTACGCGAATCGCAACACGTCAATTGTAGCCGATTATCGATCAATTTGCGCATCCTTGTACGTTCAGGTACTTATCGCGAAATGTGCACCGTGGACGCATCATGGCGATATAAAATTACCGTGCGCGATACACACAATTGTTGTCGACACAATGATTAGTGGCACGGCGACAAGTAGTTGGATCGACGTGGCTAATTTATTTAGCAGCGCGATCTATGTTATTTACAAAGTGCGCGTTGCTCGCTCGTGACCGATCCACCGTGCTTTGGTATAACGTAACGCGAGACTCGTATTGCGCGGTGATGAGAAATTGGCCGACAATCTAGAAGTTAAAAGTATATCGAGAAGACTCTAGTAAGAAGACTATCAAATCTGCAATATTTTAGAATAATCATTACAAATTTCGTAAGCATTTGAAATTTGGAATACGGAATTTTACAACAGTATCATTCTATATCGTTGTATTTCATTTTGTCACGCGACCGATTAATAACGAAAATGTCATTTACACTTGTGTCATATAACATTGTATTATGTAACATTACGTTATAATTAGTCACATTAGTAATATAATGATCAATTGTAATGTAATACTACAGTATAATTAATCGTACCGATAAATTATCACATAAATTAATTACATTCGACGCCTTAATGTATCAATACCGAGGCGTCACTGCCGCCATAACTACTCAATAACGCATCACAATTGGACAATTCCCTTTACTCCGCTATTATCTCAATTTGTAATTACAGTCGTCACTGCAATATATCTAGATCGTAAACCAATCTTCCAAGCCAGGACTTATACCCGTTAGAATTAGTAACAATTGCCGTGACCAAACTTCAAACGACATTAAAGATGCCTATCACAGTCCCAGACCCTAAGAAAACTACACTTCTATCAATCCATTTGTCCTGCCACTAGAAACGTTTTTCCCGCCAACGTCCAACCAATTCCAGAACCTCGCTATATCTCAGCGGCAGATATAGCCAGCCAACTTCTCGGCTCCGTATAATACACGCTAACATCCAGGTGCAGAACAATGGGTAGGAGCGATCGGACACGGACAAAACACGTCAGTATCCATGGTCGATGTACGACGCGACATAACCGTGAACGTCTTGTCCCTGTTGCTCAGCCAGTTGATGATCGTGAACCTGCTCCTGGCCTTGACCAGCGTAGGCAGTAGCGGTAGCGGCAGTGTGGTCGTTCTGGCCGGAAGTGTGCACCACGGCATGAAATCCGTCCTTGTCCGCGCGGTATCTGACGACTCGAACGCTGCCATCTGGCTCCTTCACGCTGTACTCGCCGGTCACGCTGCTCCCTGCAAAAAGAACGGCCGTGGACGAATCCTCGCCGCAAAACCAATTCCCAACACCGTAATAAGGCATAATTGCTTCCCGGAGAAATTCTGGTCGGAGTGGCTATTAGCATAACAGGGCCAGCGAGCGGTCACGCTAATAGAAGAGGAAACTGCGTCGCGGCCTCCTTATTTACAACGAGCCAGCTCCGGATATTTTAGCCTAAGTCGATTTTCTTGGTGCTCGTTAACCGGTGTCGATGTTTCGACTTGATGGGAAGTTGATTGTTACTTGGACGCCGAGTTCACTGAAATTCGACCCTGATACCAGCGCGAGAAACCTGGTCCGGGCGTAACTCGAGCCAGATATAGATCTGTCAGAAACTTCGTCTTGACCCGACTACTTGTCGTAATTGAGATTTAATTAGAAGCTGACACGGGAGTCGGTCGGAAGTGATGATGGCCTAAGTATAGGTTGGACCAACGATGGCCCTCGCGTGGAATCTGGTTGGATTATTTCCGGTGAATGATCGTTTATTCAGGCTCGAGGTTATTTCAAGTCTCGTATCGAGCTACTTTTGGATCAGCTTGATTCGAGTAGTTCGCTCGATAACTTTAAGATAACCCTGGCTTGGTCTTAACTTGGCTCCGCTATATCGAGAAAAATATTTATTAATCAAATCAAAATCTTATCGTGGAGATTCCAAAACTGAAAATTTTACAACAATGTACCGAGGTACCATTTTTCTTTTGTCTCTAATACTTCTATGTTGAATATCGACTAACAACAGATGATTACTTTCAATTCCAATTGATCTAAAAACGGTATATAAAACTTAACAATATCTTTGTATATGCTAGTACAGCGATGAAAGCGTCAAACTGAACGAGGGTTCGACAAAAGTCAATACCATAAAGAGAAATGTAGTTCAGCTCCGTGTAAATCATCCCATCCGCGTAACACGTATTAGAGAGTATCATGCTCAAAACAGGTACCGTCCACGTTATAAAACAGCACGTTGTCCGAATATTAAAGACGACCGCAGTATACGGCCGCCTGTGTCTCCTCGGATATTCATGGTGCGCGTCCAAGCGAATTTCTCTCGCGGCCCGGTCGCCGGAGTTCGCTCTTGCCGCGGCGAAATTCGCAAAAGCTCTCAAAGGAACCTAGCCACGTGGAAAAGTTTCACTGCGACGGCAGAGACCTGCTGTCCTACGTTCACCTCTTCTTTATCTACGTCAGATTTAGGTCAAATGTAATCTGATTACGTATCACTGATAACGATTTAAACGTAACTGTTACTAATTTCGTATTTCAACCGAGACGATTACAATAATTCATTATTAACCTCTTGCTCTATGATTTCTTAACTGAACTCGTTCGATCTGTTTTGTTGGTAATAATTCACTAGAATAAATAGATAATTCCGTACTTATTCTGTCTATATTTGCTACTAATCGAAAAACAAGACATTGATATTGATATTGATATCTACTGAAACGGAGTGAAAAATATATCTTCATTTCCCAAATACCAATAACCTGCAATTGTATCAGAAGCAGCGTTCCAACAGCAAAGCATTATTAATTACAGATAATAACTTTCAGCTGAATCAACAGTTGCATTTCAATCGGTAACATTAACATACGATCGAATGATATTTTACCCAACTCTAATCACCAGATCACTCACCATCTCTAACCTCCTTCTGTTTATGAAAGTCGCCTGTGTGATGGTCCTCGACGCCGTAAGAGAACTCGTACCTCGGGTGCGCCACGTAGTCGACCGTGTCCTCGTGCTCCTGTCCCGCAAGATGGTTCCCGTCGTCGTGATGCTGCGGCACTTTCACCTCGTACTCCGGCCCCTCGACCGGTCCATGGAACTGCACGTAAGAGCTGGCCAGCGAAAGCTGATGTTGATCGTGGGCAGCATTCTCCAGCGCGGCTTGGTTCTGCACGTGGTAAGCCTCGTCTTCTTCCAACCCGATCACGCCGCCGCTTGATCGATGACCCAGCGCCAGCACGACGGTCAAGGCGATCGCGACCTGCGTTAGCAAAAAGTTCACCCGTGAATGGCTAGCAGGGACCGGTTTCCGCGTGAGGTTCGCCCCGGGTTATTGATGCGGCCGAGGGTGACGTTTAATTGACCGACTTCCCGAGGATTGTGAACCTGCTACTTCCGGACGATCGATGGGACGCCCGGGGCTACGTCTGAATAATTGCCCGCCGGTGAAAGTAATCGATGATCCCGATCGGTTTCTTGGTACTTCTTTGGGGCAGGAAAGTTTTGAGTTGGCCGGAATAGGGCAGGTTCGCGTGGGGGTGGCTTGATGTTGAAAGATTTCTTTTTGACGGATATGGGTAGCGTAATGCGAAGTATGAGGAAAGGTGTTACATAATTTTGTGTTGATTTAAGAAAGTGTATTACACGTGCATGCATTGCACTGTGTTGGATTGTTCCAACGTTTGATGGTGAAAAGTGAATTTTGCCGGCGATCGTGGAAATCGTTTAGAAATGTTGAATGATACGGTATATTCTGCGTCGGCCTCTCGTTAGGTCGTTTGAAAGTAATCTCGACTTTTCCAATATCCGTACAACTCACTTTTCCCCATGGAATAATTATAACATTCTCCGGTGGGGTAGCTTGGTACGTTTTGATTCAATTAAATCAAGATTTTCTCATTTACTTTGCGCCACGGTTCTTCAAATTTTCCACTGAACCCCTCCGCTTTAAAATCTCTAATCGAAGAATTTACTTTAATTCAATTGCAATTATACGGGATTGAGGCAAAAGGCTATTGAATACATGCTAACGTACACTGGCAAATTGAATTCCGAGTGTAGAGAAAGGGAGGCTGGAAGCGGAAGGGGAGGAAGAAGAGACGAAACGCGATGCCTGAGACGTCCCCGTTTTAATTACGCCGGTCGGGAGAACATCACCGGCAACTTCCGATTCGAAAACAGAGCCGGCCTGTTGATTATACAAGCCAATAAAAGTTTCGCGTTTCGTTGTGGATTGAAATTCGATTCTCCTCGTCCCTTTTAAACGCGTCCCGCTTCGTTTACTCGGTCGTCGTGGCGCACGGAATTATTGGAAACGATTGACCAAGCCACACTGACAGAAGTAATTAGAAAATAGAACGTCCAATTGATCTAATATAACATTCCATGGTATTCTATTTACTCGTTTGTCGTCTCCTACCCATTTCTTGCAACCTGCTCTCCACATCATTACATATCAAACGATCGAACTTCCGTAAACGCAGCGAAAATAAAAGTCACGATATGCAGTTACCAAAAATTGAATATCTCGCGGGGATTATAAATTCAATGAAAATACCCAAATACTCAATTATCAGGGACTGGATATCCCGTGGAAACGATCCAAGTCCCAGTACACGTGACACCGGAAGCCGGCGTTCCGGTTGAATCTCCCGGAATTATTTACTTCGTTTCCCCGTACTCCTTAACGAGGCCCATAGACGCCGCGAGCACGCTCATCTGGCCCAGCTAATTATATTTTTGAAATTAGTATCAATTAGAGCGCCTTCCAACGAAATCACCGTTCCGTTCCCCAGTTTTATCTCCGCCGTTCCACCCTCCCAGACCCACCGGTTGGCCCGAGAAAAAAGTAAACCGTCTTCTAACGAGCACTTTCTCCTTGTTCTCTTCCTTTTGCTTTCTTTCGCCCCTCTTCCCAGCCGATTCCCCTTCACGCCGTTTCGTAGTGGGGATATTTACGTATTTTTATATCTGTATCAAAGAACATTGGTAGAATTAAGTATTATCGGTAGAAATAGCAACGAATTTCCTTTGACTTCAAGCTGAAACGTATAATACAGGAGAAATATGGAAAAGGTTTGATAAACAAGTTTCGACCTAGAGAATACTGATTCATGTTAATGTTTCTTAAAACAGATTTAATTTTTCCCATTATAAGGTTTGGTTAAATTCTGTGACCAGATTCGAATTCCTCATTTCAACATGACTGTTTCCTTTTCTGAAACTATCAACAATAATCAATTTTCTAAAGGTCAGAACTTATTCATCATACGGCTCACATATTTTTCCCTTTGTTCTGCAACATTTCAGCTTTGATTTGACAAAAATTCATCGTTCTATCTTAATTTGATCAAAAGCTCTTTGATTTTGACACGTAAATGACCGAATGCACCCACTGTGCGCCCCCGTCCGCATGCACCGACACTCTACCTTGAATCTCATCTCCGCCATTACGGTATTTAAGGCGGCCAAGCGAGAACTGCAACTCTCCGGCGTGTTTTCTAGGCTTTTATACCGCGCGCCGCGACCACCGGCCTCGTGAACACACGTGAATCTGCCCGTTACGCGGTGCGTGCACGCCGCCGCGCGCGAATTTCGCTCGTGGACGATAAACTGGACTCTCTCCACCGTTACCGGCCACCTTTCACGATCGGAATTGTCAACAGCCGGGAAGCGAGCCGCCGCGCTGATGCATCTGTCGAAATTATACGTGGCGACGCGCGTCCCATTGTTACCTCAACCGTGTGGCAGTTGTGATAATTCTAACGAGCGAAATGGCGAGCGGGTTCGCTTGATAATAGCCGGCGATGCCCGCTGACAAACTATTTGGTTTTTGGGGAACTATAGATCGAAGGAATGTAAACGATGTTACAGAAATTGGACAGTTTTAGTCGCGTGAAACGATATTTATGGACGAACAAACATTCAGAATTTATATATATATATATAGAATGTTGATAGGGACTTTTATAGGTTATAGCGTTTAAACTTTTCAAAGATGTCAACGTAAAATTTGCTTGATACCGGTTAAAAGATTTGGAAGCCAACAGGAAATGCGGAGAGTTATATTTGAATCATCGTAAAACATCCAACGCATGAAATCAGGAAAACCGTTGGAAGTATAAAGATTTTATATCCCCATGAATATTCTCTGGATACCATGAAGGGGACGCTGCATATACATTGTCCGAAAAGTGTACCGTTAAAAAGTTTTAATATGAGTATTAAATGAAAAGAACATTTGGAAGATTCATCACGCTTTGATTAGATAAATAACTTCACGTAACGAAAGTTTCTAACACCTTAACTTTTCGGCTACCGAGAATATACTCCTAGACCTCTCAATATTTGTGTTATATCGAAAAGACCGTTACCTAATATTAGAGTGATACGAAAATAAATACAATTTCACACCGAAGTGCTAACCTATTAAATAAAGACAAACTTTTTCCGTGTAACGCGAAGCGAACATCGAGCTTCTCCGTGGATCGTTTTATCACGGTAAACTTTAATCACCGTGACATTACAGGAACAGCGACCGCAACGTTCAAACTCAGGCCAGTAAATATCGCCGGCACACAGAGAGCACCGGTTAACACGAGGGTTTTATTTCCGAAGGCGATAAAATGTCAGGTCGTGGATACAAAAGAAGAGGAAACAACTCGACCATTACAGTCCGAAGGGTCGAACGACGCTGGATGAAGGCGTTCCGAATATAACCCGTTATTTTTCTGATCAACCGTGCTCCCTCCCTTTATCGAGGACACTGTCGTCTCCTTACATCCCCCGCGGGAGCTTCAAAGGAGCTTGTGTAAATAGCCAACAGCGGACGCGTAGCTTCTAACCCTTTAAGCTCGCGTCTCTCCTTCTTCCTGTTTCGTTTCCTGTTTTCCGGTCTACCTGTTAGACAGTGGCGCTACCGATGCCAGAAAATCAGGGCTTTTGATCTCTGATTTCAAACAAGCTGGCTCAGGAACCTCGGCCAAATTATAGTCTCCCGGCGGGATCTCGACCGCGTTTCGTTCGGAGTGATCGAACTGACACCGATTACCAGCGACCGTTCCCGTCGCGTAGTCTCTCCGTTCGGATAAATCGGACCCTTTGCGGAGAGACAATTCGGCTCGGCGGCGATTTCGACGAAATTTAAAGCGGACCACGTCGAAGGACTTTCCAGGGAAAAAATTGGAACAACGATTTCGTCGGGATCCGATCTTAAAATTCATTAGTACCATTTGTACCCTTTGAACGGTGATTTTTAGAAAACGTACTAGCGCTTGTTACATTTTTCTATTCGCCTTTGTTGTTGAACGTTCGATAAAATTTTATCTAAAACACGGTCACAAAGGTTCAGCCAATGGCACGCCCCCTTTAAAAGAGGATACAGAGACAAGTATGGAATTCCGTAATCTTTTTATTGTGCAGAGATTGAAGTTCATCAGCGAGTTGAAGCTCTACTTTATGCAATAATGCGATTAGCCGTGATATGGTACGAAGGATTAACCTATAAAACTTCCTTCGTTTTGCCTGATTGAAAGTGGTACTAATTCTTCGAGGAAGTTAAACGTCACTAATTTTTTGAAAATCGTAC